ATGAATCTCAGTCGCCTCAGGCACTGGTTATTTTTCTCTAAATAGAGGGAATGGTGTATTTTACCCGTGCCTAATTGGTGGTTGAAGCTAGACTGAGTCTTATCAAAAGCCCGGGTGGATTTCAGGCTTAGCAAGAACTGACGTCGGATCGTCACCTCCCCGTAATATAGACTGTGTCAAAAAGAGTTTTCTCTTCTCTCATATCCATTTATTTTCGGCGCATCTTTCCTTGAACTCTTCCCCTCCTTTAGATTCAACCCCATCCTTTAGCATAATCTCTCCTCTCCATCTTTGTCCCTTTCATGCTCACACTTAACCTGCTCTTCCTTTTTCTACGTCTCCATCATTACTTCAACCCACCCTCGAAAGTTGAGACAAACAGACACACTTTTTATGGCATTAGTTGCCGTCAGCTCATAACCACATTATTTATGATAATTTTTATGCCAGCAAATAGGCCTTGCAAAGAATGTATTGTCTAGTCCCCGTTTGAAAAGCCCATGTTGCTTCTCTTGACACTGAAAGCTACGTGCAGACGCCTCTGTAGGTTAGCAGGTGACCCTTATTTCAAGTGACAGGAATGGACTCATAGAAAAGCATTTTTCACTGTCTTCCAGAGCTGACCGCTTGCTACTGGAGAATGTAACCGTGTAGAGATGTACACGGTTTGCCTTACTGTCGACATGACAGAAGGTCCGTCTCAGGGAAAGTAGCAAAATTTGCCTCTTCTTCGAGGAATAGACTTGCCACAGTTGCCTGGCGAAGGGTAGCGATAAGGCTGAATTGGTACTCAGGTGCTACAGCCACCGCCTGTCTAAGACGTAACAACCGACCGGTCGATTGCTGGAGTTTTCTGTACATATATTCTGGCCTGTCTATCACCGCAAGTCGTGATATGAATGGGTAGACATTGGCAGTCATTGGGAAAAAGTTTCTGAAAAGAATCCAACTCACCTCACTTTTCATGAGGATAGTCGACAAAGTTGTGTACAGTAAACGCCGAAAGCCAGACATGGCTTCGGAGGCAACGAATCAAGACTTGGTCGTGTGCTGTTCAGTTGAAACCTTTCTGAAGGTGGATAGATGGGGAAATTGGTTGGGCTTGTCAAAATCTAGGAGAATCTTATGCATTACCAGGCTTGCTTGAAGAGGATGAAATAAATTAAAAATGTTTTGCGAAGAAAAGTTGTGTTTTGAGGAATCTGTTGCCTCATAATGGGTAAGCTTACTTCCAATTAGAGTGAAAGTGCTTAGTGAAGAGATTCGAATAGGTCGGCATGTCTCGCCAACATTACATCGACCACACGAACAAACAATCTTGTGGCAGACGGACCTCGATAATGGGTCATATTTATCTCTAAAAGATGGCATGACAAAAGAAAGTGTGAGGGTTCCTTTAAGCACTGTTTTTAAGCCCCACTTTCGTACTAATTCGCCTATCTTTTTTGAGAGAAGGCATGACGGCATAATTAGGACACGGGAGAAGGTCTCAGTCTGTCTATCTTTGACTAAATGGTCTCCGTCTGAAAATGTATTCCTCAGTAGAGAGATATTATTCTTAATCAGGCCAAACTGATAATTATTTTCCACGAATATATTTGTCAGCCGTTGCAACTCTTTAGTCAAATTTTTGCTATCCGATAGCCTCATACTTCTAAGAATCATTGACTTTAAAATTCCAGCCTTAGTCTTGTAACTATGGTTGGAAAGAAAATTAAGCAGAGCCAACATATGTTGAATTTCTATAAACATCTCTTCCTAACTTATCCTCTTCTATAATGATGAGAACATCCAGAAATGGTAAGGACTTATTCTCCTTCATTTCCATTGTAAACCTAATGTTCCTTTACGCTGGTTGAGTGAAAATAAGAAACTATCTATTTTGTCCTTACCATGAGGCCAGATGACAAAATAGTCATCCATGTATCTAACCGACAATTTGGGGGTTAGTATTGCCTCTTGCAGATAATGTCTCCTTAACTTAGTTATGGCTCTGAGCCGTTTTACGAATGAACTTCAGGTCTGGCAATGTCTGTCATATGGCAAGATGAAAGCTTAAACTTTTTTCACCCGAACTGAGGCTGGATGTCTTGTGGATTACACCAACGCAAACGTCAATGCAAAATCAAGCAACGGCAGAGAAACAGGTCTCAGCCACCGTATTCTGGCGAGACAAACCTAAGAATCTCTTCATCAGACACTTTTGCACTAAATGAATGTCATCGCGAAAACAGTGTAACTTGTCAATAAATCAAATTCATGATAGCAACGAGCAAATCTGCACTGACAAGGCATACTTTGGCTTACATTCTCGCCAGTCATTAACAACAATTGAATGAGGAAAACAATATGCCTAAGCTTAAAATGTTACTTAGAAAAGCAAGAAGGGATTTGCACATTTCTATTTTATTTGGCCTCTTTTACTTCAACTGCATGTTAGGCCCAAAATATTTCAGGAACCTTGTCAATTTTGCTGTTATTTGGGTTCATATTATGCTTTATTTCGCATTCCGACTTTACATTTCCTGCGCGACATCTAATTCAGCCCTTAGCCCAAGTAGTGCAAGCAAGTCAAGCAGGACTACAGATAATAAATGATTGGAAATAATAAGAAATAAGGCGTGATAATGTAGCCTGGTTGCTGTTGCCCATGAACTAGGAGGCTTTTTTGTACGGATTTTGCGGGGTCCAGTCCACGGGAAGCAAGATAAATCGGATCCATATTGCTTCTATATCACATATTTCCCTCTCCCCTCGCGCATTTTGGCCTTACTTCAAGTCCTTAACAGCATAATTCTGAGTTTGATTCCAAAATGGCATTTATAATTTTGATGCAACATTCTAATTAAAGTCAAAAAATCCTTTTACGGGCAAGATAAAGTGAAATTCAATGGTGGGTTGAGGCCCAATAAAAAACCAACTCATGGTTTCGAATGGTGACCATTTTCTTTTATTAATAAATATTTTTCTAGACTATCAGTGAGCCTTGAACAAGAACTTAATCAGCCTAGGTCGCTTAATGTGATTTACTGACTAATAGGTGAGTTTTCCCATAATGATGTGAGTTGGCTAAGTGAAATTCAATGGCATCACGCGGCCTATTCATGTTGTTGTGGGGGACATCAAATACCAGTCCTTAAATTGCTTTGGACGACCTAGAATGACTAAGCTTTTTTTCAAGAATTACTGATAGTCTCAAAAACTACTTATATAAAAAGTCAGTAACACTGTCGGTTACAATGGCAAACACGTACTTGCTTACACGACAATCCCAATATACATGTGAGCTTATCTTCGTTTTTAAATAGGCTTTCGAGACTACCTGACTTGCCTGGAATTTATTATCTGCCCTGAAGTGGAGTGGAATAGTAGCATCGCCATTTTACTATTTGTCATCGAATCGCTTTGGGAACGCTGAGGAGACCTAGGCGAGGTCGGAAATGGTAACCATACTGTATTAGATAGCCTTTTGGGAGCCATGGCTAAGCGTTATTTCAATGGAATCCTGACGCCTACCATTCCCAATGTGGGAAAGCTCAACTATCAGTCCTTAATAGAAGTTGTTTGACCTTGTTTTCGCAACATGGTCATATTGGTAGGAAGACTCATTGGAACGCAC